TTGTCTACGCAGGTCCAAGTCTTCGTATATACCCCATATACCAGTATCTCACTATATTCGGTACTTTCACGAGTTTCGGTACAATATTCACTGAAATTGTTTGTAATGTCGTATTTGAAGTTCGTAATGGATGCTACAGCCTATGACAGAAAATTGTCTATGCTGGTCCAGGTCTTCGCACAGTTCCGATATAACGGTACCTCCCTATATACCATATTTTGATGATTTTAGCTACATTATCCACCACTTTTTTCAAGTTCCGAATTTGAATTTGGTAATGACTTATGACAAACCATACCTGTGTGGGTCCACGTCGTATAGATACCAATATAACGGCTATATTCGGTATTTTTAAAATTTTAACAGAATTTTTTAAGGATTTTATTTCTAAATTCGTTCCAAATGTTGGGGGGTATTCAAAGTTCCGCCCGGCCGAACTTAGGGTAATTTCCATGGATTTTTATTCCCTCAGCCATATGGCCAGAGAGGATATATATCATTTGATGCGGCCAAAACATGTGTCATCAAAATAACGGTTTTAGACCCTAGATCTCTTTGGATCAAATCCGTTTCAAAACATTTGGAGTCGATCTAGCGATGTCCGTCTGTCTGTCTGGCTGATGTGCACGATTATTCTCGAAGGGAGTATCCGATTTGTTCCAGACATGGTACATCGTAATATCATTATCAAACATAGATTGAGTTCGGAGATGGACAATATCGGTCCACTCCTTCTGGTACCTCCTCCACAAGATGTCAACATTTTCAAAGAAAATAATTTACTGCACAGAAAGAGAAAGAACATACCGATTTTGCTCCAACTTTGCAAATCCTAATATTTGCATCAGTGGTAGGTCAGGTGACAAAATGGAAAATATCGGTCCACTGCAACAAGTACCACTCCCACAGAGGGTCAAATTTTTTGAATTATTGTGATAAAAGGTGATATAAGAGTCCGATAGTCTTCGGACTTGGTACATCTTGGTATTTCTATCAACACAAGATCTGTTAAAAGGTGGTATAGATCGGACCATTCCTTCTGGTACCTTCCCCACAAAGGGTCAAAGTTTTGAATAGCCAAAACGATTAAAAAATTCGAAATAAGCATCCTGTTTTTATTACATTTCACACATCCCGTTATTTCTACTAAGACAAAACCCGCTGTGAAGACGGGATATATCGGTCCACTTCATCAAGGCCTGGTGTGAGGATGGGGTATATTTGTCCACTCCTTCTGGTACTTCCCCCACAAAGGGTTAACATTTTCAATATCCATGAAGCTGATAAAACGCGAAATTAGCATCCGATTCCTTTCGGACTCGGCACATCTCAATATCGGCAAACAACTGATACTTTTTAACTTGTTCAGAGTAGGTTTTGGGACTCAAAAATTAATCTTTTTTAGAATATTTTTTTGATAATATATTCGAATAATTTAGAATATTGAAAACAAGTTTTTGATCTCAATTTTTGCAATTAAAGACCTTGACCCATATTTACCACCGTTCCAATCCTGAATTTAAAAATAAATAATGTGGAACAGCTATCATATCCATACTTGTGTCTTTTGGAAGCTTCATTTCTTTCCCTTCTTCCTTTCTACCCTCCCTTATGACTTATTTCCACATTTTGTCCGGAATGTGTAATGGGGAAATCCCTCCCAACATTTCCTGTGGAAAAACATATGCCATCGGACATCCATTATAGCATATTTTGATAGATTACCACCCAAAAAATGGCAGATAACACGGTCTGGATAAACATATTTACCATAGCAAGGCCTATTTATCAGATATTAGAATTAGTAACAACACCACCAAAAAAAGAAGCGGCTCATTCATCATTTATCACATTATCAGTTTTTATTGTCACCGAAATCTTTTTAACAAATGTTTTTTTTCGTTCTTTCGTTCGTCTCACCTGCATGGGTTTCATATCACTAAAAAAAAAACTGATAAGCGTATACTTTCCCCCTGATAAAGCAAACGCTTGCAGTATGAAATCATTGCCAAAGTAAGAGGTGCAAAGGAAAGAGTTTGCGGACAAATATTAGGTGGGGTTTTATAAATATTTGCAGTTGAAATTGTAAAAAAGCGAATAAGGGATCCTCCAAGAAGCCCAAAGGTCTTCTTGTTAAAATAAAATGGAATCGAAAGTTAATTTCGCGTTTTATGAGCTTCGTGGGTATTCAAAATTGTGAGCCTTTTTTTTGGGAGGGAGTTAATACCAGAAGGAGTGTACAGATCTATTCCTTTTTTACACCAGACCTTGGGTTAATAAAAATATGTGATGTGTGCAATTTGAAGATAATCGGACGCGTAAATCACCCTTTGTGTGGGAGGTACTTGATGGAGTGGACCGATATTGTCCATTTTCGAACCTAACCTAGCACTGATGCAAATACTAGCATTTTCAAAGCTGGAACAAAATTGCATTATCCTTCCTCCTACTACAGAACAGAAAGAGTTGTATAAAATATTTTTTTTTTGTTAAAATTTTTAATTTTGTGGGGAAGGTACCAGATATGCCAATCTTCGAACTCGATCTAAGTTTGACAATATTTCGATGTACCGAGTTTGAACAAAATCGGTTACTCCCTTCGAGAGTTATCGTGCGCACCAGCAAGTCAGACCGACAGACAGATGGATGGAAGAACGGACATCGCTAGATCGCCTCCAAATGTCCTGAAACGGATTTGGTATAAAGAGATATATACCCTCTTTATCCATATGGCTTAGGGTATAAAAACGTCATTACAAAAGCTGAGGGAAGTTATCGGCAAAAGTAGAATCTGCTCTATTTCGAACGAATTTTACTTCGACTCGAAAACGGGCATAGAATATTCGCTCATATTTCCGTGACATTGAAAAAATATTGTACACTTGGTTTTTGTCCCACAGGAGTACTGAATTGAATTTTAAGACTGAAATTCTCTTTCGGAACTCTGATTTAACAACCCAAGCTTGATCGTCAGAATTCGTCTATAAAAGTCTAATAACTGAGGTCCAAGTTTGCTCCGTATTGGGGGCCTAGTTATTGTGAATGATGGAGTCAGAATTTCTCTTAAATACTCGCTCTATGATACACAACATTCAGGCTCCAAATAGTGGCTAGGATCTTCAAAAGAAAGTTCTAAAACTCGAATCTACATAAATTTTTTTATACCCTCCACCATACTATAGAGGGTATATTCATTTTGTCATTCCGTTTGTAATATATATTCTTGATCAGCGTAAAATTCTAAGACGATTAAGCCATGTTCGTCTGTCTGTCTGTTGTAATCACGCTATCTTTCGAACAAATTGAGATAGAAGGCTAAAATTTTGCACACATGTATATTTTGCCAGTAGGCAGTTTAAGTTCGTAAATGGGCCATGTAGGTCCATGTTATCATAAACCCTCATGTAACGGTACCCCCCGATATTCGTTATTTTGATGATTTTAGCGACATTATTTACCGGAATCGTTTCAAATTTGGTATTTGAAGTTCGTAATGGATACTATATCCTAAGTCAAAAAATGAGCCATGTAGGTTCACGTCTTCATATAGCCCCCATATAACGATACCCCCCGATATTCGGTATTTTGATGATTTTGGCGACATTATTTAACGGAATCGTTCCAAATTTGGTATTTGAAGTTCGTAATAGATACTGCAGCATAAAACAGAAAATGGGCCATGTATGTCCACGTCTTCGTATAGCCCCCATGTACCGTACCCCCGATATTCGGTATTTTAATGATTTTAGCGATATTATTTACCGGGATTGTTTTAAATTTCGCATGTGAAGTTCGTAATGGATACTTCAGCCCATGCCAGAAAATTGTCTGTGCAGGTCCGCGTCTTCGTACAGCCCCCATATAACAGTACCCCCAATAATCGGTATTTTGATGATTTTAGCTACATTATAAATAGATTTTTCTTCAAGTTTCGTATTTAAATATTGTAATAACTTATGACAAAAGTTGCCTATGCAGATCCACGTCGTCGTCTAGGCATTTGGTATTTTTAAGATTTTAACAGAAATTTTAACGGATTTTATTTTTTCTTTTGGAAATTACCAAATTTGTACCAAATGGTGGAAGGTGTTAAAAGTTCGGCCCGGCCGAACTTACAGCTTTTTTACGGCGACTTTTTAAACAAAATACAAGCGATTTTGATAAGAATTGTGGTTGAAATTTTATATCGACAAGAATATTAAATGAGACCTATTAAAAATCGGCAAATCTTCAAAATCCTAAAAGTTCCGTTATATGGGGGGCTATTCCTATGTTCACTATATTTTTTGCGAGTAGTTAAACTACTTCCTGAGAATCCAAAATTAGAAATTTCAACATATTTGTTTGAAAATTGTTATCAAAACCTTTGAAATACCGAAAATTAGGAGGTAAACTTATATGGAGGATATATCAAACATCCTAGGTGTAATATCACTGTCTGTGCTGAACATGAACATGTTTACTTCAAGGGGTCTACGAAAAAATATTTCGAGGTTTTTCAAACGGAATGAAAAATTGTATATACCCATTATTTTACATTGGAGGCTAGAAAAACTCGGATATATCGCTATGTGCACCTATAGTAAATAGAGAACCTATATTGGAACATTAGGTTTTGTTTTAAATCATAAACCTCCTATTACAAATTATTTGGGTTCAAACCTCATTTGAAAACTTCTAAAATACTATAAATTGAGAGGTACCATCCTATGGGTGCTATACCAAATAGTCTACCATTTTCAATTGTTTTTGGACCCTATAAAACCATTCTCTTTTGAAGGTCAAGGGCTTTTCTCATGGCAGAAAAATTAACCCCTACACACAACACGTTATGATTTCATGACACCCTTTTATAACCATTTCAAACCGCAGGTATTTATTTTAAAGTTAGTCCTAAATATAAACATGTTGGGGTAGGAAGGGAGGAATGTGTCTCCCACCCCTTCTCTCAGCTGCAAACATTCTTTTTTTTCTATTTATACTCATATCCATTAACTCACCTGCAGGCCAATGGCAATAAAGGTAAGGTCTGTTTTATGGAAGGCCTTAGATTTTGATTCCGCTTCTCTGGCCAGACATGATCGAACTTTAATTTAAGGCCATATTGGGGTATGGCGCTAATTTCGTTCCTTTGCTGTTGTTCGTCGTAATTAGCACTGACGGAATCCATGTTTAGGGCTTTTAAATGCGTGTAAACTATTGTTGTTGTTGTTTTTGTGGGTTATTAATGACTGTTTGATGAATTGATTGATTGGCGCGGACTAAACGCACTCGCGTGTACACACACACAACCCAATACTCTCGCAATTATGTATTGGACTTTGGTTGAGTCTCCGTGGCTAACAAGTGGCAGCTGTGAGTAATGAAGTGGTAATATTTCACTGCAAATCAGTTGTGGGGGTGGGAAGAGGGTACTTCAACTTGGAATGGAATTTAGGTGTTTAATTTTTTCAAGTGCTTTCTGACATTTGCTGGTGCTGTCACAAAATAAATACAAATATTTGTTTTCGAAATGCTTTCTGTTATTATTTTTTACTTATTTCTATTTGCATTTGCCATTCGGTAAAACCACACACAACAATAGGAACCCAATTGTCGGGTATTTTTATTAAATATTTTTTTTATTGAATTTAATTTATTTAATATTCACTTGGATGGCGGACCCAACAACCACAACAATACAATTATGTTTTTAATGCTATTTATGCTGACCACTGCTGCAGGGTTTGCTTGCTCTGTTACTGCCACAAGCCCAACATTCAATGTTGTGATTTGTAATAATTTTTGTTTTGTTGTTGTTGTTCTTCTTCTTTTATTTTCACTTTGAAATTTTTGAAGCACACAATTTGGCTTATTTTCTGTTTTGTTTTTTTTTTTTTTTTCTTGGTCGCGGCCTCTTCCTTTGATTTTTGCTTTACAAACTTTCCTCAGTTCTTTTTTTGGTGCGAAACAATTTTTATTTTCCAAAAGACACGACCGTTTGATGTGAAAGACACGAAAAAACTGAAATAACTTGACTTTTCCATGCATTGCTCAATTTTATTATTTTTTGGTGGAAAAGAGAGAGTAAAAGAATAAAAGAGAGGGAAAAACAATAAACAAAAGAGAAAACGAATAAGATATGAAAACAAAAATGAAATAATAACATTGAACAGCTGTGTTGATGTACAGTTTGAAAGGCACTGATATAGGCATGGAGTTTGAAGACAATACTAAACATCTGCTGCCATAACTTTTAGGGATGTCAGTTTAGAATACAAATGAATGGATGAAAAGGAATGGTGAGGAAATAGACCAATGTATATTCTTCATAAAAAATCGTAATGTCCATCTGCTTTACAACATGCTTTATAGTGAGTAGGAGTAAAGAAAGCAAAATTGTATTTTTTGTTCAATTCATTCGAAAAACGATTATTTGGAAAAATCTAGTTTTTTCGTTACATTTTTATACCCTCCACCTAGAAAAGGGGGGTATAATAACTTTGTCATTCCGTTTGTAACATCCCTAAATATTTGTCGTATACCCCATAATGTATATATATTCATGATCAGCATAAAATTCAACGTCGAGCTTCAAAATTTGGCAGAACACTTTGTATTGTGTCTAGGATAATTGGTATTGAAAATGATTTATAGCGGTCCACGTTTCGGTACAGGCGACATTCGGTATTTTGATGATTTTCGCAACATTTTTCACGGATATGTCTAAAAACTGGTATTTGAAGGTCACAAATAATGACACCCCCGATACTCGGTATATTGATAATCCTGATTACATTTAACAACGAAATTCTTTCAAATTTGGTATTTAAGAAGATTTGGTAGTTGACATTCCTCGAAGTATAAATTGTCTATTGTATAAAATTGTCTCACCCACTTCATAGTTTTTGAAAAGTTTCCAACACCTCGAATTTTTCGTCAGAGACTTCAAAAAGTACATACATTCCTGATCAGTAGTGGAATTCTCTAATGCATTTTTTGAGTTACCGACAAAAGTCGGTAAAATTCAAATACTTATAATTTCGGTAATTAACGACATTTTTGGTAAGTTAGCGACGAAATCAAAGTAGTCGCTAAGAACTACCAATAGATACCAATATTGGCAACTTTAACTTCTTTTTTATATCAAAATTTTGGGTTTCAAAATAACCGATTTTTGTCGGTAACTCAAAAAATGAGTTAGAGAATCCCACTGCAGAATTCAATTAGATTTGAGGTGTTTTCTGCCACAATTTCCAACCAAATCAGTTACACTTAATGTTGATAGTAGGTCTGATCTCTCCCTGCAAAAAATATTCCCTAAAAGTCCAATAATTGGTATAGTTCCCATATTAATCTACCTCCCGATTTTTGGTATTTTGAAGTATTCAAATTAGATGAAACTTGACAGTTGGGGTCCTCGGTAGGTCTGTTGTCTCCTTGCAAAAAATATTCTCTAATACCCCCGGGTTCCCTCCCTGCAAAAAAAAAAATCCAATAATTGGTACAGGTCTCATATAACAGTACCTCCGGTATTTTTGGCATTTTAAAAGTTTCTGCCACAGTTGCCAACCAATTTCGATGATTCGCTATTTTTTATTTTAATTAATTAATCTTCCATGTTAATATACTCTAATATTTTCATTATTTCATTTTACTTTGTTAAATATAATGCTAGAAGGTACTTGTCTTAAATTTATACTTAAATAAATTTAATAAATAATAAATTTAAATAAATTTATAGCTTGTTATTTATTTATAGCTTGTGCTTTATTTGAGTCGATCTAGCTACGTGTCCGTGCTAATTTGTAATCACGCTACAAGTCGCAATTACGGTCCGATCCTCACGAGATTTTTCATAGAGTTAGAGTCTTGATATAAGCATTTGAAGATGATCGCAATATATTTAGGGGCTGAACTAGACCAAAACAGATTTTTGTGCAGTTCCTTCACAGGTTACAATTATAGGCCAGTTGACGCATAATTATCGTGGAGTTAAAGTTTAGAACAAGGCTAAAGCCCGTCATAGTGAATAGCCATTGAATAAAAATTAACTGGGGAAACCTACCATGACTTTTGTGTGAAATTCCATTCAATCGTGAAAATTTTGAAATGATTAAAGTCACTTCCCGGTGAAATCTTGAATACACGAAAATAGTGCTTATAGCCAGATATCGGAGATATAGTAATATATAAAATGGAATCTAAGTTTTCAAATACTCCTTTGAATTGCCATTAGCTAATTGCGACGACATGTAGAAGGTCTTGTGCTTCCGGTCAAAAACCGATTTATCTTTTTGCATGACTATTGATTAATTTTGCACAAATCTCCTCAATATAAACGTACATTTGTAATGAGAAGCTTTACAGAGTTTCTTTACCGCCCGACTTTTTCCTATTACCCTGCTGTATTTTATTATAAAAAGGCGTTAAACTGGCATCTCTACAAGTTTGACAGCAATTGGAGTAAGCAACTTGTAGCATACTTTAGGGCTCTTAGTATAAAATACAACAACAGTGATTGTCAAACATAATATAGAATATAGAATGTTGAAGAAGAATCATTAAAACTATGATACAACAAATACAATTTTTTTAGGATACAATAACTGGGCGCCACCCAAAAAACATAGTCTTTATTGATTTTTTTTCAGAATTAAGAAATTATATATAACTGCTAATTTGTATATTTAATGAAGGCTTAAAAAAAATTAAAATATGGTTTTTAATATTGTTCTGCAAAGATGGGTATACGGCGATCTCTATATAAATTAAATAACAGCAATTAAAAATAATATATCAAGGATTTTTTTACGGTTCTAATTAGACAACTTTCAAGAGAAAAAATTATTTTATAGAGGTTTTGAGCTTCTCCACAAATACAGATATTTGAATATTTATTCTTTCAATTATTCAAAAATAATATTTAATGTTTTTCATAAATTTAATGTTATATAAGGGGAAAATTATTCCTGAATAATTTCAACTAATAAATAATGTATCTTATGGTTACCAAATTATTTTAGACCCTTTTAATAACATTCCGCAAAAATTGATTTATTTTCAAATAAATTATTATTACCCCTTGATAATAATTAAATAAAAATTACAGTTACCTATTAAATATGAACGCACTGCATATCTTCATAAGAGGAAGTTTTGGCCACTGATTTAACACAGCATCAATTGCAACTCAGGATGGGCTTTTGAAGTTTCAGTTGTCCGGTATGGCAATGTCTTGCATTTTCAGATTGCCATCAATGAATGTTCACTGCCATGTCCATCTTCATGATCAGATTGACAAGATTAGATAAGATAAGAAAATGTAGCTGTGTTTAAGAAGAATAAGACTTAATTTAAGTAGAGAGGTAGTAAGAAATTTTAAAATCAAGTTCATATAAAATTTACATTTTGTAACAAATTTATTGTATTTTTGAGCCTTGAAGGCAGAACAGAACAGAACTTTTTATACTTTTCTCAAAAAAAAAAAAAAAAAAAAAAACGAAAATATTACCCCCTTAAATAAAAAATCTCCAACCTCCCTCGTATTCAAATTTCTCACTCCCCCTCAAACTTTAATTGGCATTTCTTAATCCATCATCTTGTTGCCGCTTTAGCTGTCAATTTTTGATCTCCAAACATCACCATAAAAATCATTCAGTTGGTTTAACTTCCGTATTCACTATTGCCAAGTAATTTCCAACACCGTAAACAACAACAACAACAACAACAACAACAACTGTTGTGTCTTTCTTCGCTTTATCAAGGATAAAACTACACTACCCAGTATCAGCAGCGAACATTGAAGCCAATTTAGCCAAGGAAGAAAAAAAACTTTTATGCAAATTCAATGGCACACCGTAAAACCACAACTTTTAATATTCTTGGGTACTGCACATCATCCATGCCTGTATGTACATGCATTTGCATCATCACCACCACCAACCAACCAATGAAAACCAGAGGTATTGAGTCGAAATGTCAATTATACGAAAAAATAACAAACACACTGAATGATATGAATGGGAGAAAACCAAATCACTTGGGGTTACACTCAAAGAAAAAAAGTATAAAAGGCAGAAAGAACACAGCGAGGTCTTCTCATAGAAGAGCAGAAGATCTTCTCATAGAAGACCAGAAGATCTTCTCATAGAAGACCCTGAGAAGATTTTCTTATAGAAGACCAGAAGATAATCTTAGAGAAGATTACAAGGTCCTCTTAGAGAATACCAGAAGTTTAACTATCAGAAGACAAGAGAGTCTTATTATTGTGGTCCCTGAAGTCTTCTCATAGTAGGCCAGGAGTCTTCCTATAGAATACCAAAAAGTTATTCTTATTGAAGACCCTAAGGTGATGATGATGATGTCTTCTCATAGAAGACCAGAGGGTTTTCCTGTAGAGGTCCAGACAGTCTACTTATAGAAGACCAGAGTGTCTTCCTATAGAAGACCAGAAGGTGTTCTGAGGTCTTTTCATAGAAGACCCTGAGGTATTCTCCTAGAAGAGCGTGAGTTCTTCTCATAGAAGAGCTTGAGGTCTTCTCATAGAAGACCAGAAAGTCTTCTCATAGAAGACCAGAAGGTCTTATCATAAAAGACCAGTTGGTTTTCTCATAGAAGGCCAGTATGTCTTCTCATAGAAGGCCTGAAGGTCTTCTCATAGAAGACCCTGAGGTCTTCTCATAGAAGACCCTGAGGTCTTCTCATAGAAGAGCTTGAGGTCTTCTCATAGAAGAGCTTGAGGTCTTCTCATAGAAGAGCTTGAGGTCTTCTCATAGAAGACCCTGAGGTCTTCTCATAGAAGACCCTGAGGTCTTCTCATAGAAGACCCTGAGGTCTTCTCATAGAAGACCCTGAGGTCTTCTCATAGAAGACCCTGAGGTCTTCTCATAGAAGACCCTGAGGTCTTCTCATAGAAGACCCTGAGGTCTTCTCATAGAAGACCCTGAGGTCTTCTCATGGAGGACCCTGAGGTCTTTTCAATGAAGACCCTGAGGTCTTTTCATGG